ATTGAATATACAATTCAAGACAAGATGGTAAGGAGGGCCCTTGAGTGCCTACAATCTAAAAGGGAGGGGCCAGTAAATTACAACTTTAAATAACACTACTTACTGATAATTTGTTGTGTCTCTGCACTTCTAAACAAATATCTAAAAAGCTCTAGCCTGCCTCTAACAATCTGTAAAACAAAAGAAACGCTCACAGCTCATTTTGAATTTCAAAATACTATTTTGTGCTGCTTTCCAGAAACGTACATACTTCTGGGAAATAAATCTTATTAAATATCTCAATCACCTACAGATTTAAGAAATAAAGCTGAATTATTACAGACATTATCAATACTGAGACTGTTCTTTTACATTCCAACAGCAGAATTCCTAAAAACTAGAACACCAGAATAAAGCCATTATTTTTCTTCATCAAGCATGCTCCACTACATAAGAACATGTGGGAGTTTTGCTTCTTCCCTTGACAGAAATTACAAGTAGAAAAAAATCCCATTAATTCCGGGTACAGACTGTCAGTGCCTCCCCTTGGCACATGGTGTATTTTTCTGGAGAGAAGGGGAAGAGGATCAGAGGGTACCATGGCACCAGGTCTAATCTGTCCAAAGACGTGACAGTGGAAAAGCAATAACTCACGGCTTAAGGTCTTGAGAGCATAAAGATTTTTTATGTGCAACAGATGTTGGAAGTGTACGAAGGTGAGCAGTACCGCTAGTCAAACATGCTGAGCCCTGCACCCCGAGCACTCCCAGAGTCAGAATGTTTGCTGAACTCGGCTGCATTCTGCTAACTAGGAAACTGTGCACAGGGCTTTTTTTCTAATCTTACTCTGGGTGAGGCATACCGTTTATATTTTTAACCCTTTACTGTTTTGCACTCTGGTAGTTACATAGTTACATAGTTACATAGTTACATAGTATTTGAGGTTGAATAAAGACATTAGTCCATCAAGTCCAATGCTGAGCTGTCAATTCAAAGTAACAGGACCTCCTGAAGATGAACAGATGGGTGTCTGATATATGGAGGATCTTCCCATAGAGTCAACTTTCTCTGGGTCAGAGTCTATAATTTATATGTACAATTCTTTGTCCAGCCTCCACGTATACCCTTTGGAGGCATTGCTGCATAAATGCAATCAGTGGTTGACCCGCTAAAGCTAAACTAGTCACACACAATTTTACAAACACTAAGGCCCCGTTCACACCAGGGCAGTTGCGGATCAGCGTGGTTTCGTGCAAATATTAAAAGGGCGGTTTTAATTGCGTTTCAGCGCTAAAATGCAATTAAAATTGCCAAAAACCAGTTCCATTGAAATCTATATGGAAACCACGCAGATCAGAGTGGAAAAAAGGGTCAGGGAGCATTTTGGGTGGCAGGCCGTTCGGATCGCACAGAGCCACGCGGTCGCATGAACGGTCCCCATAGTAATGTATGGGATTATTCATGTCGGTGGGTCAGCGTATCGCGGCCAAATACGCACGGACGAACCGCCCTGGTGTAAACAGAGCCTAAATAAAGATCCTGCTCCTTGGAAAACCCCATCATGCAGGGCAAAGCAGCAGGTTTTCGTTAAGTAGAACTGAACCGTCACATCAAAAAATGTTTGTAACACAGAATGACATTTCTTTTTTAACAAAACACATTTTTTGTTATGTTTTCTCTCCCTGCACATCGGTGCTGGAACGCACTGGAATTGGTGTGACCTGATGAAGAAGATGTAGCACCACACCACTGCCAGAAGTATAATGAATGACTTACAAGACACAGCTGAGTGATTCACTGATGTGATCGGGTTAGTGACCATCTTCTGCAATACAACAATAGCTAACATGCAGTTTTCATCCCAACACAACTTATCAACATCTGATTTGCTTTAGGTTTATAGCCGCATATTCATCAAAGGCAACATGAATGAGTGGTCCATTCACTGTAACGGCTCAGCATGCTTACTAAGGATCCAAATGTTGTAATGTATGTATTGTATGTCCACCTAAAAACTCATGATTCACTTTGGGGTAAAAAGTGTATTATCTATTTGCTTTGATCACACCTCATTTTATTGTTTTATAGAGACTTAGAGAAACGAAATACTTCTGTCAATATTGTTTTCTTATTTCTGTCTCTGACCATACTGGGGAGATTTCAACTCATTTCCTGTTCCTGTGACACGACAAAAAATTAGAGAAATGGTTGTCACTGGGAAGACACCTGACAGAGGTCTTCGTAAGTTCCCAGTTTTACTGGACAAATGGGGATTTATTAATAAACAATTTGTCCTTTGACTCTCTTAACATTCTTACTGTGCGAATGGAAGCAAATACGAATGCGGAGGATTTATTAAAACAGTAGCAGACATAATCTGGGGCAGTTGCCCAATGTAACCAATCAGCTTTTCTATTCAGTTTGTTCAATTAAGCTTTGAAAACTGCTCTAGATTTTCTCTGCTCCAGTTTTGATAAATTCCTGCCAAGGTTCTTAGTATATTTTGTTTTCAAGTCAAAGGTATCGGAAAATACTGCATTATGGCCACTAGATGGAGCAAAGGAGCATAGGAAATAAATACCGCAAGTGCAAAACTAGAGGAAGAAAGCATATTTTGATTAAGTTTGGTCATCAGATAGAAGAGTCACTACTACCTGGTAGAAAGGCACTTGGAAAAGATTTGTTTATGTAGCATTTGTTTCCTTTTTCTTATAAACACAATAATAACAAAAATTGGTCCTTACAGCCCAAACTGGAGAGGTAAATCCAAGGATTGCAGCTTGTGTTCCTTCTCCTACATAAGGAATGACATTTTCACCCAGACGAGTATCCCGGAAAATAGCCCGTAAAATATTTAAAGCATGCACCTAAAAATAAATAAATAAATGTTTTAAAAAATCAGCATTTGGTTACTATTATTATTATTACCATGTTTTCTCAAATCAGTCTTTTAGGGAACACTAATAATACATAATCTCAAGGTATAAAAGGCTAAAATCCAATCAGCAATTTAAAGTTATAGGAGAAATACATAGGTGCCATTGCTGACCTCCTCCTGAAAATTATAGCTACTTAGCCCTGTGGCTTCAACAATTTCTGAGCCCTGACTTTACCGACAGTGTTACTAAAGCCAGAGGATCAGTACAACATAAAGGCAGATAGCATTTTTACAGGGAGCGGTCAGCAATAGCAGCTTCGATGTTTCACACACTCCGTTTCCAAGGTTTACAGAAAACCATCAATCTTTCCTTTTTCTGGTATTAGGAGGTTAAAAAAAGTAGGCGAGGGCTCTTTGGATGTGACAGTTCCAGTAAGGATGTATGAAACTTATACCATTTCAACTCTGACCAGGGTCAGTGGAATAAATACGACCAATCGCTGCTTGCAGAAGCAATATAAGTGGCTAGATTATTATGACCACCCCAACAGTACTTCATTGGGCCACGAGATGACTCCACGAGATTACTTCGTTGGGCCGCCTCGTGACTCCACGAGATGTTGAAAGGCGATGCGAGGAATCTGACACTGCACTTCTGTTGTCTTGTACCAGTCTTGCCACTCTCCGTTCTGCCCTAACATTGACTAGTCGCTGACGGCCACAATTCGAACGTTCAGACCCAGATTTTCAGCTGACAGTCCAGTCTTTAAACACTTTAACAATGAGCCCCTCTTGAACATTTAACAAATTCTGCTGTTTTGCTGATACTCACTCTATGCCTCAGAGCGCCAACAATCATCCCACGTTCAAAGGCTGTTAAATCGCGTTGTTTACCCATATCTTCAGAAAAAAATCACTTCTACTGTCGTAGTAAACAACCCGCTTCCCTATTTATAATGGTCTGGCCCTCTAGCAACATCAGCGCAAAATTTATTTTTACACTGAATTGTCCCTTTAAGGCTGAACTCTAGGTGAATGTAACAAAACACTCCATAATCAATTTACAAAAATTAATTAAATATTTTAATGCTGCCAGCATAAATAGCATACTTCTGTCTTTTTATAGCTTTTAATAACCCCTTGTGGTTCAGGACGCAGCTTGATCAGAGGAAAGCAAGCTCTAAGAGACAAACAGACTCTATTGCATCGCATAATGCTATCAGCCTAAGGCCACATTCACACGTGGCATTTTTGTGCGTTCTGATACCTGTGCCAAGAATCCCAGGTGTACCCGTTCAGATGCAACTGCTGTACCCATTGCAGTTAAAAAGATAATAAAGTCAAAATACTTTTAAGCTATTTGAAATGCTGTTTAAATCACGTAGAATGGATGCTGCTCCTTGATGTTCAAAAGTTTTGGTTTCCTGCAGAATCAGCTGGTCCCTTGATACTCTGTATTGGGGTGGCTCCTTTCCCTTGCAGGGTCCTATGGAGCCACTCTTGTGTGCGCTTGTAAGCGGTGTATGTCTCTACAAACACAGGCACGGCAAGGAACGTCGCTCCTATGATCCTTGCCTTCCTCCATTCTCCAAGCTAGTAGATGAACAGGTGCTACACTGTTCTGTCCCTCCCTTGTGATCTTGTACTGCACAGGAAGTTCAGGGAAGTCAAGCTGAGAGAGTGGGAGGCAGCTTGTCAGAAATATGACTAACAGGGTTATTCACAAAAGGGTAAAGAGTTTGGAGAAGACAGGAGAAGTGAACAATTTAGGCCAACATAGCTGAACTGGAAGGTGAGCTGAATTAGATTAGATGTTTCCTAATCAGCTATGTTGTCGTAGATTGTTCACTCTTCCTGCCTTCTCCAAACTCTTCACCCTTTTGTGAATAACCCTGTAAGTGTTTGGGCAAAAATGTAAACAAGTACTGTGATGTTTATTTGATTGATCTGGATTCATTATTGAAAAAAAAAAAAAAAAGAGTTTAAAAGTTTATTACTACTTTAATGACAGAGTGACAGCAGCCACATCTGTCAGCGGCAGTCCACATGTAATCATACATTGTACGATTACATGCAGTTCGTGATAGATGTCCCTGTATGCAGGATAGATGCATCTCTCCCAAGAAATAGGATAGATCAGTGGTGGCGAACCTTGGCACTCCAGCTGTTTTGGAACTACAAGTCCCATGAGGCATTGCAAGGCTCTGACAGCCACAGGCATAACTCCCAGAGGCAGATGCATGTTGGGATTTGTAGTTTTGGAACAGCTGGAGTGCCAAGGTTCGCCACCACTGGGATAGATCATCTATCCCAAAGTGCATGTAAATGTACCATGTATGGTTGCATGCGGACTGCTGCTAACAGATGTGACCCTTTCATTAACTTGAATAGGTACAGCGGCTGCATCTAAACGTGGACACCTGGGATTCCTGTGGCACGAATATGTAGGCACTTGCCACAGGAATCCCAGAAGGCCCTGTGTGAATGCAGCCTTACACTAGCATCTTGCTAAGAGGTAACGCAAGGTAGGGATTTATCTGATAAATATAACCAAGATCTTGAATTTATCATTTAAAAGTGACACTAAGTTTCCCTCTAGACTTCCAGAGAAGAATTTAATATGCTAAAGACATAAGTAAGAACAAACAAATGCTCTGCGTACGCAAGGAACCTTGCATAACAGCAACTGTTTTTGGTTAAAAGCACATATGCGCATCTTTTCCTGCTTAAATCATAGCTTGGATCTGAGCCACGTAGCTTGTTAATAAATAATAGATCACCTTCAACTCATAATCTATTACTGCCTTATTAGAGCAACCTCATCATTACCTAACATACCACTTCACCTGCGAGCATAAAATATACATTCATTTAATTAACATAAATCAGTCTCGCATCCCAAATGTGCTGTCAGACACATTAAAAGTCAAACCAAAGTGCCTCGGGTGGTTCTGGGAAATCTCCCAGGCTCTCTTGTTAAAAAGAAAAAAAAAAAGAAGAAGAGAGAGAGGGAAAAAAAAACATGTGACATATATATTTATCTAGATCTTAAACAAGTCTCAATAGAGGATTGTGCCTCCAAAAAAAAACAACTGGAAAAGATTGTAACAGATGTAGAAGGAACTGATCAAAGATTCTAAGAGAACACATACACAAGAGTATATACACGTCAGAAACATCAGAAGGCGTTGGAATCTCAGTGATAAAAGTCAGAAATATATTTTAGCTGTGGCTGTGGTCTGCAGAAAGGGAGATCTTGCTTCTAGATGCCCGCGTAAAGTAGAATGATAATGAGCCTGTGCGTTCCACTTTGTGGTGTAAAGGAACGGTCAAAGGGAATTACAAATCGCTTTATTACTAAATAGAAAAAAATGATACACAAATCATCTTAAACTTTCAAAATGTGTCTGAACTGAAGATAAATGAGATTGCAGGATAACTGGACTGTTCAATAAAAACTTAGGGGAGCAATAGGCAGACCCTGTGCTGCCACACAAACTATAAACGCATACATTTTCACAACAGCAAGGTCTTCCTTTGCAATGCCTGGTCAGTACTGTACATAGCCAGCAACTTGTTTACAAACTCTGTTGCCCAACCATCTTCCCTCCATGTACAGGCCAGACAGTGCAATGGTAGACTTTGGTGGTTTGAAAAGTTACCATTAGATCAGGGATTCCTAATCGAGTAGTATTAATAACCATTGGGGGTATGGTAATTAAATGATGGGAGTTACGAGATTGGATCTCTTAAAGAACAACTCTAAGGGGGGCCGTGCAGGCTTTCAGGTGGCTGTGCAGGGTCTATGATGGCTGTGCGGGGTCTATGCTGGGCTGTGCAGGTTCTATGGTGAGCTGCGCGGGGTCCTGGTCGGTCTCGGTGTGTGCGGGAGGCGTGGATCCACAAGAAGGAGGAGACTTGCTGCCAGCACTGCAAACTGGAGCCACAATTCGGGACCTTGCTGGGAACCTCAGCAGCCTTCCTGTGAAGCCCAGCATTTCGTTACAGTCCTGGCTTCGGTTTAAAAATGTAAAACTGCAGGAGAGGTGCGAGGGCTCTCCCAGGTCAGCTACCCTGCTGATTGACAGCTGATGGTGCAACTGGATGTAAACAGACTATCGGTACCTGATATCGGTTATGGGCCTGAAACGTGGCCCATTATCGGTACTCAGGCTCAAAATGATTGCCATCACTGGTGTAGGGTCTAAAAAAAAAAAAAAAAAAAAA